CCGGCCTCTGCCACGACAGGTTCGTTTCGAACGCTCGACTTGAGCACCATGCTGATCGCAGTTTTAACCTTACCTAGGGAAAAGTATCAGATCTACAGTATTAATTTTGATGAGGAATTAATACGTTAGATTGATGTGAGATTAACATTCTTACACTAACGTTACAGTACACTTATGAAAATGCTATTTATGTTAAGAAATATATATATATATATATATATATATATATATATATAATATATATTGCAGGTAGTCTCAATCTAAGATGTTTCAAATAAATATTGTAAATGTTAAATTTATTCAAATGTATATCTACAAAGAGAAACCCCTAGAGTTTCTTGCTCATTCTTCTCAAGGGAGTCTATCTTACGGATGAGCAGTAGAATTTAATCAGTGTGACGATTTCAAGTGATTGTATGAATCAATAAGTATCATTTGACTTTGCTTGTTATAAAAACCATATTTGACAATTGTTATTTAATTTATGTGGATTCTAGCAATTTGGCGGCTGCTACTGCGATTAGCTCGCTTGGTTCGTGCGCCCGTTGTGGTCACCTTACATACTTCTTCGTTGCGATCATCGTTACAAGTAAATTTTGAGTAGAATAATATTTACAACTTAAACTCAATTAATGTATATCTTAAATATTTATATAAAATGCACATTATACCATCGGTATATTAGATTACAAGTTTTATATCAATTTATCAAAGAGGAAAAGAATATAAAACATATGTGTACATTTATTATACAGAATGATACTTTATATCATACGAGAATATTTCATGTCTATAAATTATTAAATAATTCTAGCTCTTTTGAGCGTTATTTTGACCTACTATTCAATATGTTGTCATACCAAGTGAACCGCGCCGAGTAACCATACTTCATGAAGTACCACTGCAATCGATAAGTCAGATTCCGATAATTGAAATATCAAACTGTTTCCTTTCAAAATAAGCAAGAGAACAGCGTAGATGGTCAATGTTGGGGTTATCGATCTGATCGGGAGGAGTGTGTCGCGGAGTGAAAGCAATCAAGGCGGCGTCGTAGACAAACTGTCGGGGCGGGCGTTAATTGGCGGTCGCGGAGATTTATGCGGGGAGCCGCTCGTCACGCGGACGCCGATTTCGTACCACCGCACCCGGCCCTGAGTGCCGACCGCAGGCAAAGACTATAGATATTGCCAATTACTTAGGAAGATGTGCCTACGAGACCATCCCTTGTAATTCGTAATGACGCCCGTACCAATGTATTAACAATTTTGGTCAATTGTTACACAAGTCATGATAAAAAAAACTATTATTTACAATTTATCACAGGCACATGGGACTCGTCAACTTATGTCTCATGGTAACGGGCTCCTCAGATAAAGCTCTGAGTGTCACTGCGATGGACAGGCGTATCGCTTGCTAACAAGTGCACAACTTGTTCGTCCGGTTACATAGTTGAAATAAAAAAAAAAGTCTTACATGTTTACAAAAAATGCATATATTCCACTTCAAAATGTCTCTTGCCCAACAAGATCTCGAGGACAAAATGCTACAGTATACGGCACCGATCCATATAGTAGATTTGACTTATACACATTACAAAGGTGTAATATGTTCTATACTTGAAACAACGTGAATTGTGGTTAAAATTTTTAAATATGTGTGTATGTTTTATAATCTTTGGTACGGCCATCGCGTCACCGGCCTATGGCAAACACTGTCCTACACTTATTAACATTTCGGAAAAGTGTTCAGACCTTTCCGATACAGCCGCAGAGCTTAAAATAACATTTTGCTAAAAGATCAATTAACGCACCTGAAATGATATATTAATTTGAATATACGGTTACATATTTGTAAAACTTATGAGAAATAGCGAAGCTTTGTAATTTACAGGTGACATGTCATATTAGGCCTGTATTATTTGATACGGAATATTTTTAAATAATGATGCTGTTATCAAGATTCTAAGAATTAACCAATTTATCGTTTCATTCATATATGTATATTTACTAATATAGTAGCAGTAGAGCTCCTTGTGACAGAGTTCGTTCAGGGAAGTAATTGCCACCTTACCTATTTCTGCCGCCAAGCCGTAATGTGAGCATTACGACGTTCCGGTTTAGAAGGGTAAGGGTGCTGGTGAAATTATAGGCACATGGGATTTGTCGACATATGCCTCGGGGTGACGGGCGACGTAGCAGTGCCCATAAGATATTTGCGATTTAAAGCTCTGAATGACACCGCAACTGTTATGATGATAGGTGTGTCGCTTACCACCAGACGCACGACTTGTTGTTGTTGAAAGAAATACATAAATACAGTAATTATAGAACAATTTACAAATGACTAGTACATTATAATGAACTCCAAGATTCTAATTATTTGTTTATGGCCAAAATACCAATGGTAAGTACGTCAATGTTTCTGTTAAGTACATAAAACTCAACTTTAACGCAAATGACATGTTACAGAAAAAAAATACTTAAAAATAGTGACATCATTTTCAGTATACGCTAATTAGCATGGTAAAATTTTATCAACATTGGCCCATTGACGAATACCAAAAATGATACATCATCATACTCTAGCCGCTGCATTCTTGCAGATGCAACACCGTGGTTTATTGAATTCCGTAAACCTCATTATTAAAGTTTTGGTTATTCGATATGTTGCGGTAAATTTTTGAAATATCACATGGTGTGAAAATCTGAAAACAGAGCTCTAGGGTTCAATTTATGAAAGGCAAAACATGTGGTTTTATCAAACTATTGGAAATTAACAAATTGCTAAAATTTGTAGGAAATAATAACATGAGCAGGGTTGTAATTTTATCAACGTTGTGCGCGAACAAAAGTTAAGATACTTCGTGTTACACAGCTCTGCACAGCGATACAAACTATTTGATTGGATAAAACTTGAATCCAGCAGACAAAAATAGAAGTAGAAGAAAGTGGAAAGGACTTGAAAGGTGCGATAAAGGCGACCACCTGTTTATGTGTGCAGCTCGATACCCTGCAATCGATAGTTAAAATATATGTGGCACTTAAATGAAGCAGGGGCCTCGAGACGACAGTGCGTTGTTTTTGCGGGGTGCTTGCGGTTAGAGGGCGGAGAGGTTAGTTCTACTTGTGCCCCCGAGGGAGAGGCGCGAGGGACGCGGTGCCGTTTTCAATTTGCTTTATTTGCGCTTGTTTTAATAGCGCTCACTCCTTATTGCCCGTACGGACGACCAGCCAAATTGCTTCGTGCCCGGACGCCTTGTGATTAAGGAGGCACACGCGCGGGACTTCGCGTGAAAACAATGTGCCACTGTTTGTTCGCAAGATTGACATGTTACGATGCATCTGTACAAAGACACGTGAGAATCAATAGAAACTGTTTTAAAACAGCATTACTATTCGACGTTTGTGAAGATAATTTCTTTGCAATGATATCAAAGACACTCATAATGATTTGGATGCATAAAATTACGCACTGGCTGGGCATAGCATTGCGAGGCATGAAGAAGCTTCACAAAACAACTTGCTTTAACGAAATACTGTATCACAAAGTTGAAACGAGGAAATACAAACAATTATGTAAAGGTCTACAAAAAAGAGTGAATCAAACCTTTAGTTAACAACCATACACAATAAAAAAGGAGCTTCACAAATACGTACAATATAAAAATAATCAAACAGAAGAAGCCCAGAAGTGATGTTTATCGACAAACGTTGAATATGTCACACAAAATAATGAGCTGAAAACAAATAAAATACATCAGGACAAACTATTTGAGTGCAGATGTCAAGCTTGTCGGTGGACACTGTATTGGAGTGTACGTAGAGAGGTGTCGACACTGGATGTCGTGATAATGATCAGATTAATCCAATTATCACCTCCAGCAGACGGACAAGACTTGACGCAAATCGTTTTAGAGGGCGTGTCTAATTATATTATAACCACCTCAGTAGATACGTATATGTCCTACTCAGAGATGATATTTGGGATCTCCGAATGAAATTCAGTTTTTAAACTCATATCATTATTTATCACATCAATTTCATCATTATCAATCATATTATTATTTAGTAAAATTACAACCTTAATCGATCCCTCCTTACCGCAATGCCATAAAAATTATTATGTATACTTTCTATATATTTATTTACACAGAAAAATATAATAAGAAATAGCGATGTTAATCACTGCTGATCTAGCAATATCATGTATTTAATTATTCTTAATAGTATAACCTGATATCGATCATCTGTATCCTGCAACTAAAATATGATATCCGACAGATAATCTATTGTAGTAAGGTAGCGCTGAAATGAGAACATTGAGAATTTTATTATTGAACCAATCACTGTTGTTTCATTGAAAAACAAAAAACAACAAATGAGTGACAAATGGTCTCTTTAAAACAGTGGATCCAAATTTCAGAGCTCATCGTATGTTGGATAGACGTAGTATATTGTAGAATGTAAAGCACGCGCGGTGGCTGTCAAAACGGCCACAGTTTCAATAAGCAAATTAATTAGTGCGTCCATTCAACCACTTTTTGATACGAAATTGACGGCCGAACGCGCTAATTGGCTATTGATAGCGTTGCTAGTCGTAACTACTATTATATTCTTTGACATTTTAATTTAAACAATTTTAAAACAAATGATAAATCAATCATATTTGAAGTTCGTTACACGCATCTAGCGCTTGATAAATTAGTTTATAAAATGTTTCGCATTGGAGTTTTCCTTGGTGGTACTCGTTCTCTTCTTATTGTATCGATTGCAACACTATAATGCTTGCCGCAATGGTGACAAGATTTGCCAATCGGCTTAAGGTACTCGTCGATTGTTGCCCAGGGTATACCAGGCGTACAGGAATGGAATAGATACGTCGTTGCTCCTTTCGTGCACCCTTGGGTGTCCGTCAGGATGGTTGAACGAAACGAAACATACAAATCAAACTGTGCTCATTATATTAGATAGATTTATTATTCTAAGCATTTAATAACTTACCTTAACCAGTGACGTTTGGCGATCGCCGTGTGGCAACAGATTGCATCGTACTGGTCAGCGATCCATACAATCAAGATGATGTAGAATGCGGTGGTCGTGTCGTTGAAGAACTCCGACATTATAGCTTCCATACCTATTGACAAAGAAAAATATACCATTTGTTACTTAAATTCAATTCTGATGTTTATTTTTGAAATAAAATAGTTTTTTAACGCAAAACAAAGTATACCTTCTTTGTATACTAAATGTGTTTTAGAGTGAAATCCATATAACAAATGTGGACCGAAGATGATTACGTGAATGACCACGTAACACGTATCGTTAAATAAATATACCAAAGACAAAATTCCGTAAATAAGAAGTTCACAAGACGTTCTCGTGAAAAGTTAGCAAGTTATATATTATAATAGAAAACAAAATTTGTGCAAACAATATACTATATAATAGACAAAACAAATATCGCTGAATAAACAAACAACGAAAATACGTTGTCATAATACCGACTCAATAAACAATTAATTGTGCGGAAAATTGATGAGAAAGAAAAAGCGCCCACTGACATAATAAAAAAGATAAATAGAATTTAATGTTTCTTTTAACTTCAAGAATGATTACCAACCGTTTTAAAATCAGAACCACTTTTAATTATATTATGAAGCAAATACTATTTAATTCAATATACATAGATAGAGATATTACACTCATAGTGTGTAATCTTGTTACACATTAACAAAGTGCATGATGCACAGTTTAAAATGGACAGCATTAACCACAGCGGGTTTCAGTGCAAAACCGCAACAGCAAGGGCAGTGCAGTTCACAGCGTTAAATATCGCGAGTCGTGTGTGCGACACTGGAACCCCGTGTCGGATGGCTTTGTCGGGATGTCGGGGTGTCGGACTAATTAGGTGTCGACAATTACTCGCTAACGACCGAAATCCGAGACCTAAGAGCTTATTAACCGCCAGACGCGAACGATTCACGTCGTCTATCTTTGAACGTTGCAGTTGGATTTACATGCTCCGACAGAATTGGGGTTTTAGTTTCTTCAGGTGTTGTGTCTGAAGACAACTTGAAATTGACTTCTGAAATTGCTTCGTAACAGCACTTGCAATTAACTGTTTTCAAAGAGAGCGCGCTGAGTAAATAGTAAATTAGCCTGTACGATGAGATGTATTAAATAATATTGATGAATATAGTTACGATGTTGGGTAGAATACAAAATGAAGTTCTGTAATTATTTACAACTAACCGACTAAAGTGCTACGGTGTACGAACTGCTACAACATACTTGCCTATGCTACATACATTCAATAACCTCATGACAAAAATAATATATTACAATAATAGACGAAACGAGGAAAACATTGTAACTTTTTGAATACATTTAAATAGAACATGAAGTAACAAACAATTTGTAGTAACAGAATTTCTGAGCCGTAAAAATGGAAGTGTAGTGAAGATAAGCTGCAGATTTTCTCGGATCTCGCAACTAATTGGCGCTAAGTTGTTGTTTGAGATTATACGATACAGTTCACAGTATCTACTTATATGTGCAATGGTACTATTTTTTATGAATCTACAGGATTATAACAACAAATATTCGTTTATGTTAAATATCTATACAATAAAAAACTTAATGGGTTAATAAAAATATATTAACGGAAACTGAAATCCTACAGCATTTGAATACAAGTTCATTGCTCAAAACACGAGGCAGTCAACTGTATAGGCGTTTGAAAAGCAGCTCGGACATAACTCAATAGAAGGCGAACCGTCCGCGTCCGGCGCCTGGGCGGGCGGTTGCGCTCCGTATTTGCATTTTGATGAGGGCGACACTGATACAATAAACACGTTAGGGTCTGTTCGGAAGTCTCAACCCAACTCTGGCGACGTTTAACTGCATCATTCATAACCGTATTCGCTCAATTAACTCTTGCTTTGAATTATACTCGCTTCTATGATCACGTCCAATGACATGAATACAGCTATAAATGTCTACCTACTGCCTGTAATTACATTGACTAAGAAGCTATAGCATAATTGTAACAAACCCACTATTCATGAGGCACAAAATAATGGTTTTTTTTTGTAATGTATTTCAAATGTAAAAGAAACATTACACTTGATGAATAGTTTTATATGTGTTTTTCATAAAGCCAAAAGAAAGGAAAGGTGTTCGATCAGCATTGGCTTAATTTTTGAAATTGCGGAATTTAAAATGTTTTATTATTTTTATACACGAATGTGCGAATTGGTGATAGGTTCTACGTACATAATACGTTCAAAAAGTAGGCTGTACAAAGGTACCACTTTCCAGCCGAAAGCATCACTGCAGTATTTGTTAGTAAATGAAATAGCAGGAATACCTAGTGCAATCACAGATCCAAAAGTCAAGATCTTATATCCCACACAA